GGCCTTGCAACTTTACCAACGTGGAGGAGGACCTCCGTGACCGGCTGGTGTGCGGCATGCGAGACGAGCGACTGCAGCAGTGGTTGTTCGCAAAGAAGACCCTGACGTGGGCCGATGCCTATTCGGAGGCCGTCGCTGCCGAGACTGTGGACAAGTCGACCCAGGAGGTGAGACAGCGTTTCGCCACAACAGAGCTGCGTGTCCACCACCAGGGGGCCGACGTGGAGTGCAAGGGCGCTCCGGATGACGTCTGCGCTGTCAGCAGACAAGCGGACAAGCGGACCCCATCGAAGACTGAGAACAGCCCATCGTGTGCTGGCTGTGGCGGGAAGCACCCCGGGGAGCGCTGCTGGACCAAAGATGTCGACTGCAGGGCATGCGGTAGGCGGGACCACATCGCTCGTGTTTGTAAAGCACAGAAAAATGCACCCTCAAAGTCGTCCACCAGGAACCAACGTTCCCGAGCAGCACAGCAGGAGGCTAGCTGTCAGATGACCTCCAGCGTGTCGGCCAAGCCATCAGTTCGACGCATCGGAGGCGCCGGAAAGATCCATGTGACCATCCACCTCGACTGAGTGCCGTGCAGCATGGAGGTCGACTCGGGATCGTCAGTGACCGTGTTATCCGCACATACTTGGCAGCGTATGTTCCCCACCAGGAGCCGACGGCGGCTGAAGCCGGCGGACACACAAGTGTCCGATTTTCAGGGCAAGCGTATACCTCTGGCGGGGAGGGATACATTTTCTGTTGAATTTAAAGGAAAGTGTGCACAACTGTCTTTGCTTGTGGCTGAGGGTAACCGAGTTAACCTATTGGGGCTTGATTGGTTTGAACCTCTTGGTACTGGTATTACTGGAGTAAATACTGTGGTACAGAATAAATGGGCATTACTGTACAAAGAATTTCCTGATGTGTTTGGGGGCGGTCTTGGGAAATATACTGGGCCCCCCATGTCATTTGAGCTTGATCCTGCGGTAACTCCAGTCCGCCTCAAATATAGGAAGGTTCCTATTCCGCTTAAGCCGAGGATCGAAGCTGAGCTGGACAAGCTCATCGAGCAGGGTGTTTTAGAGCCTGTCCCATTCAGTAAATGGGAAACACCCATTGTGACCCCTGTTAAACCGGACGGTTCGGTGCGTATATGTGCTGACTTTAAATGCACTATCAGTCGAGCATTACAGCAGCACTCATACCCCGTGCCGGTGATTAGCCACATCCTGGCATCATTGGGGGGGGGGGGTTTTTGCGAAATTTGACCTTGCCCAGGTGTACCAGCAGCTCCTGGTGACCAAGGAAGCTGCTGAAGCCCAAACGATAGTAACCCACAGGGGGGCATTCAAAGTGAATAGACTCCAGTTTGGAGTGAATGTTGCCCCCGGGATTTTCCAGGGTCTTATGGAGGAGTTACTGAGGGGGGTGCCGGGAATGGTTCCCTATTTTGACGACGTGCTTATTGCTGGGGGGTCCGATGATGAGCTCATGCGTAGAGTCCGAGAAGTACTTGAGCGTTTTAAAGGGGCTGGTTTGAAGGTCAAACAATCCAAGTGTATTATAGGTGTTCCTAGTGTGGAGTTCCTAGGTTTCCGAGTTGACCAACATGGAGTGCACCCCACTGACAACAAAGTAAAGGCAATTAAGAATGCCCCAAGCCCCACTACTAAAAAAGAGCTGCAGTCATTTCTAGGGCTGCTCAATTTTTACCACGCCTTCCTGCCACACAAGGCGTCAGTGGCAGCGCCATTACATTCGCTCCTTCAAAAGGATGCAAAATGGCGGTGGGGCGCTGAACAAGAGCGCGCGTTTGAATATGTATGTATATTTGTCGCACCTTTGCCTTCTTAGGTAGGCCACTACCATAGCTACCACCTTGGTAAATACTCTGGGTGCCATTGCTATGTGCTCCTAACCACTATACCAGACTGTAAGCTTTTCCTTTTGCATCTTGTTATGGACCTCATCACTGTCGGTGCGAACAGGTCCTTGATTCTGGCAAGGGTTTCTTGAGGGAGTACCATGGATGTGAGCCAGAAGTGTCTATAGAGTGCGGCAAGGTTACAGGCTTGGTTATGGAAATTTGGTGCTTGGACAGCTTCGATGCTTTTAGGACTAGGAGCTTTGCCAATTTGCATTTGTCATACAGTAACATTTCCAAGTAGGGTAGCAAGCCATCCCAAAGGAGAAGTTAATAATGTGCCATGATAGATTGATAATTGGTGATCTTCAAGCCAGGGTAGAAGAGGTGTGGGTTTTTCTGCCTATCCCATCTAACTTGTGCCCTTCTCTGTCAATAGGGGTCAAATGTTGGGTACCCTTGTTCTTCCCCTGAGAGTGATCTACAACTAGGGAGTTAGCTGTGGGGTGCTGAAATAGGAAAGGACATCCTTCCTGCTTGGTTCTGTAGTGATTTTCATTACACCTAGCAGAAGGTGGCACCAGTGCCAAGCATAGCCAAGGTCCTGCCATTACTGGGGAGGTAACAGGTCCAGTGTCGATTTCTATGGATCTGGAAATAGTTGCTCATTATATAGGTGTAGATTTTATCCAGGAGAGCTCTCTGTCCTCATAAAGAGGCTGATCATACTTAAAGGCTTTATCACCCAGAGATCTGAGGTCTTTGTGTGGGTCCAGAGGTAGGTCTGGATCATCTGTCAGATAGGGTCCTGCTTCTGCCCCTGATCATAGTAGTCACACTGGAGGTCTTGGCACAGCGATCATGACAACGATAAATACAAATCAGTTGGAACCAATTGGGGTAGTGCTTTCAAACAATGTTCCCAGTTGGGGTAGTGGTTC